TCAATACAGATGGTTGTGTGAGTCATTTTGTGTGCTGGGAATTGAACTCAGGACCTCTGGACAAGCAGTAAGTGATCTTAACCACCCCACACCTATTTCAAATTTCAGTTTCAGTGTATCTAGCACCATCTCTGTCCCTTAGTGGTACTAGAAATGTATATGGTATTCTTAGGGACATGCAAACAATACATACATTCATTTTTTTTAAAATGCAGTTCATTGTATGAATACAGAAATATTATCTATTCTCTTGTATTCTTTTTAATGCAAGGAACTATTCTTCTAGCCTTAGTGTATACAGAGGTTTTTTAAATTACTTTCAAATATATATATTGAGTTTCCTTGATTTAAGAATCTGTATACTAATATTATTAGCACCCACACCTGGGCATTGGTTCATTAGCATATCAAGGCCTGTTCAAGTTTAGGCTCCAATGTGAAGTGCTGGGTAGACTGCCTGGCACTTGCTTCTGAGGGCTACACTTTATCAGTGAAAACTCAGGCCTATATTATTCCAAATTACAGACAATGGTTTCATTTACATTTCTAACAAATAAATAGACTGCTTGAGTGTTAGGGTTAAGTGTAGTTCTATGCAATGGTTTTCATTAGTGCTATGGTTAGGATTATGAGTATTGCTAGGGTTACAATTAGTATTAACATCAGTACTGTAGTTATGGTCAATCATTTGCTTAGTGTAAGGTTAGAACTATTGCTAGTGATAGGTTAGACAAAATGTTAGGGTTAGGAGTTCAAGGTTAGGTTTTGTTAGGTTTAGGTTAAAGTTAAGGTTAGGATTTCTGGTTACAGGTTAGGTCACAGGTAAGTATAGTATTAATGCTAGGACCAAATTTGCTGTGGTTAGGGCACAGGTAATTTAGATTGGGAGAGATATTTTTGTGTTGAGCAGCCAATCAGGCAAGGTATAGACAACTTATCCATGGATGCAGTTAATATAAAACAAAACAAAAAAAATCAGAAGAAAACAAAGAGGCTGAGCAAAGCTGCTTCCTATTCAGAAGAGCACAGAGACCTTTCACCAAGTATACAACTGATCATGAAAACAGAAGACAACAATTCCATAGGTACACCTAATTAAAAAATAAAACATTACGGGCTGGAGAGATGGCTCAGCAGGTAAGAGCACTGCCTGCTCTTCCAGAAGTCCTGAGTTCAATTCCCAGCAACTACATGGTGGCTCACAACGATCTGTAATGGGATCCGATGCCCTCTTCTGGTGTGTTGGAAGACATCGACAGTGTACTTATATACATAAAATAAATTAAAACAAATGTCTTAAGAACAAAACAAAACAAAAACAAAAACCATAAAAAAGGAAAACAGCTGCATCCAGAATCTAGGTAATGAAGAAAAATGTGTGAAAGATGTTACTAAAGCTTACTCAGAGAAGCTTCACATACCTGTGTCTAGTTCTTCAAATAGTCAGCATACCTTTTCATGAATGTCTTCATAGAGTTTAAAACATGGACATACTGGGGCAGAAGGAGAGCATGACACACTGGTGTCCTAGTGTCATCTGCTCACAAAGAGCGGAGTACAAGGATGTCCATGTGTACATGAAAACACTTGTAGTAGTGGACATAGAAGTAGTTGTACACCACTGCACACAGATTCAGACAGTGCACATGTTGTCAGTGAATCATATCTTGGGTATTCTGAGCGAATTGTATCTTGGGTTTACCTAGCTTTTGAGATCATATGAGGCTCAAGAAGAAAGAAGACCAAAGTGTGGATGGTTCAGTCCTTCTTAGAAGGGGAAACAAAATATGTAAGGGAGGTAATACAAAGACAAAGTTTGGAGCAGAGACTGAAGAAAAGGCCATCCAGAGGGTTTCCCACCTGGGGATCCATCCTATATGCGCAAGCCTATCTTAAACAGCAGTGTTGTAGGAGCAGATTGGTGAACATCAATGTACTGGCTGAGAAATGCACCTCTGTGTACACAACAGCAGCAAACTTTCCTGTACTACTTCTGCATGTCCATAGATCGAATTGGACAGTACTATATGTATATTTGCTAATAAAGAAGTGCAAATGTTTACTCAAAACATGTTTACTCAAATAACAAAAACTTCCTGCATTGCACATGGATACAGATGTGCTTGTGCAGAAGTAGAGAAGTGTGCCCTGATGTTCTACTAATGATGTGCCCATGTATTTCCTGGTAAATAAGAACACATGGATGTCCTTGAACAGCAGTCCACACAGGTTTACTAATACAAAAGCACACAAGGAAGTCAAGTAAAGGAGTGTACATAGATATATTATTGCAGGAGATATCACATGTTTTCTCAAAGCAGTACACATGCATGTAAGCATACAGCTGTCCTCAGATGTACTATTATAGAAACACAAATGTGATAAATCCTACAGCAGGACTTATAGATGTGTGGCATCACTTTACATGGTACTAGACCATTGCACACAAGGATATAATGGTACATCACTGATGTCAATGTACTAGTAGAGTAGTGAATATCCATCTATTACTAAACCACTACACAATTTTAATATATACCAATAGTTAGTCCTTGTTGTAAGTATATAGAGCACTGTGAATGAAGCAGAAATAACTTTTTGTGTTATGCAATGGCAATGAGCCCTGAAGAATAACAATCTACTGTCACTGTTTAAATAACACCTTAGTGAGGGCATATTCAGTATCAGAGCACATGCCCAGAACCTTCAAAGACTACATTCCAATACTGAGCACCAAGTATATAAGTAAATAGTTTTAAAAAAATGATCCTAACAGCTTATCAAACAGCCATACCAAAGGATCCAAAGCCCTTTAATCAAAGCTAAATATTCTAGACTGCAGTGAAGTTTAAACAATATTGGAAGCAGCCCCTTCCAAGTATTATTTTCACCCTCTTTCTATTTACATTGTATTAAAAACCCCACTGTGTTGATTAAAGCCACTATCTATAACCACATGAACTGACACATTTTTTTTCTAATACTGATTTCCATGTCTCTGTCAGACTATAACTCCAGCGATCAAGATGCACAGGTAAGAGAACTGCAACCTGGGACCACACAGTGAGACCCTGTCTCAAATACCAAAGATATTTATGTAATTATTTTATGTTCAAAACTTAAGAAATTAACTCTATGACAGAAAATATTACAAAGCTACACCTCTTAAAACATGAGTTAAGTCATTACAAGGACTCTCACAGTATGAAATCTGCCATTCTTTTCTATTTCTGAGTTTTCATAGGTAGGTCTCAGTTTGACTGCCTTGTCTTCCAGTAATGCCACAAGGGCTTGAGTTACAACAATGTTTGGGTGTGGTCACATCCTTATTACTTCAACAATTACTTGGAGAAACCTGTGTAGAAACATCCACTAATTTAGATAGTTGACTGTGATGGCCTTGATCAAATCCACTAATTTAGAAAGTTGACTGTGATGGCCTTGATTTTTTGGGCAGAAATCAAGTACTGAAGAGGGAGCTGGGATAGTTTACTTTTAACCTATGCTTTTGGAACAGAAAGGTTCAATTTCCGAATGCTCTTTAACAATCTCTGAAAAACACAGAAGAAAAGCACCACTCTGGCTTACCTGTGTACTCAGGAGCACTAGAGTGTCTGTTGTCAGCCGTCCCACTGATGTGCTACATAGACCAGACCAGAAATTGGCTTGCCAACCTTGATGTGCCCACCCCATGGATGTTCCAAAGCAGAAGGGCTGGTGGAAATGCTAGCTCTCTTGGCTGCAATTAAGCACATTATCTAAATTAATCTGTGAATATCTGTTAACCCAGAGACTCAAGACCAGGCTACTCAAATCACTGTCAGGAATTAAAAGCATTTCAGATATAAAAAAAAACAAACAAACAAGCAAGCAAACAAACAAACAAACAAGAAACAAAAACCATGGTTCTACAGGGACAGTTTTATACTATCTTCATTATTAAAAACCCAAGTTAACAAGCTTGCCATCATTAGTCACAAATGTCTTGGTATCATAACATGATGCAAAATGGAAACTGTTAACTAAACATTTTCTTTTGAATAAATACTGTAGGTACCAATAGGATCACTGAGTCACTGAAATGTGATATTTCAGTCTTATATAGCCAACCTCTAGGTCAAGAAACAGAACATGATCAGGACTTTAGAAGCCTTGCAAAGGCTCCTTGCAACCATTGTGTCTTCAGATGTTACCACTGTCTAACATTGAAAGTTTATACATTTTTGCTTTCTTTGTTAAGAACTGAAAAAAGTCCTGCATTCAAGTTGTCTATTTTTTAAAAGTTTTATTTATTTTATGG